GCAATTTGCGCACCTCGCAGCCCTTTCCCTGGGAACTGGACATTCCCGGGATTCGTGTGCAGCCGCACACTTGACGCATTTTGCGGCTGCAGTACCATATGCAGAAATCCATAGCTTGTTCTGCGCTCTTTACGTATACTGAAAATTTGCTTCTGCGCAGGTTCTTAGCTATGGTTAGTCACTGTGTTTTCCTCGTCCATATCTTCGTGTTGACGTTTAAATAAAATGAGTAAAAACTTTGAAATCGGTCAAGCCGTTTCGGAGTTACAGGTTTAAGAAAGCTCAGAGAAAAAAGCTCATAACGAAGGTAGTAAGGTTATTTATAGGTGTTTCACTTATCGCGACTATTTCTATATAAAATCGACTTTTAAAATACCGTTTGCAATTACGACATTTAGTGGTAATCTAAGAAATTTGAAAATCATTTCCAGCTAATTATTTTCTTCAATATAGCCGTTTACTGTAGCTGTATATATTTTATGTGGACGCGGCACAACGTCATCTAGCTTTACTCTGTCGAAGACCTGGGCGAGGTGCGGACTTGCTAAATTTTATGGCTTTCTCAGCCTCTGTCGTATGGTAAATATTGCGTATATACAGGACCTGTTCTTCTTGAATCCTTTTTGTTCTTTGCACTGGCAGCAACTTGTACTTAGGAGACCGATTCCTTTGGATTGCTTGTTGTGTAGTTTGCTCGATCGGTCTTTGTTCCCTTTTGTTATATTGGTATTGTTACGCTGTGCTTCCACTCCGCCGGTATGTTCTTATTGTCTAGTCTCTTGTTAAAAAGGACTTGAATCTTAGAGAATAGCATATCACCGCCGTATTTTATCATTTCGTTGGAAATTTCTGCTTCCCTGGGCGACTTTCTGTTCTTCACTTTGCTGGCTACTTGTTCTATTCTCACCCGGGATATGTTCCATCATCGATGGGTGTTATTGTCTATTTCTGTTAAGGTATTCTCGGTGTTGTCTTCGACTGCGGCGTACAGCTCCCGGATTTATCGGTTTTTTCCTGCTTCTAAGCATATTCCACACCTTTTTCTGTCCTCCGAATAGGTCCCGCTCCATACCCGTGGAGAAAGTCTCCCAGTGTGCTGCTTTTAATGTTTGTCTTTCGCTGTTAATTCTGTTTCTTACAAGCATGTACTCATTGTACTTTATTGACTTTGTTATGTACTGTAGGTAAGACCTTCGTTTCTTTTCCGCCGGCATCTTAACCTCTTGTGTGAATGACGGTTCGGTATTTGGAATCGTCCCCCCGTGCGGCGCCTTCTTCCAAGTGCTTCTTCCGCAGCTCCTATTATGTTCGATTTCATTGTTTGTCAAGCGGTTTCTACTTCGCCCGGCTGTTGTATTTTGCAGGCTTGGATTTTTTCCTTAAATCTCCGTTGGCACATTTATTTTGTTGAAGCATCAGATAGATACTCCACGTTAATTTTGTTAGTCCTCTTTGTCGGTTCGCTCTTTTTCAGTTTTAGAATCCTGTCGTCATGAACTCTCCGTGAGTGGATGTTTCTGTTAATGATCAGCTAACCCATTACGGATTTATGTCCAATCTGTGTTATGGTTTGTGTGGAAAAATGTATTTTTTTGTTTGTAGCTCATTTTTGGCCCTAGCACATAGTTGGGTTAATTGTTCCCCGCTTTCATTCTCTGCTTCTTTGTTGTATCGATTTTTTACTTCTGGCATACATTCGTTTCCGATCTTGGCGTTTAGATCTCCGAGAATTATTATTTCGTCTTCGTATTGCTGATATCTATCGTAGTCGCTGATGTTATGTTCGAAGTTCTCGTGTAGCAAAAAAAAAAGCTATTCATTTGAAACGACACTAAACGCGCGGGAATGTCGTGACGTCATATCGCTGTTCGTTCGATCGAAAGGCAATACGGGAATACAGAAAAAAATAGACCATTTGACCGACTTTGAGACTGAACTTGTGACAAAGTTATAATTTACAAATTGGAAGTAAACTTTAAATTATGATCGATAGTTCTCTATAAACCTACGTAATTCATTAAAAAAGCCTGTCGTTTACTTTTTAATAAAAATACTTCAAAATATGTTATGACAGTGGCACGTCCAATTTGTCAAATTTACTTTTGCACATTTGCGTAAAAGTCCGTGCGTAAAAGTAAAACAAATGATCAGTAAATAAACGTGCTTCTTCTTGATCATCGCTTCTGATCGAAAAATTGCACTTTTAGATTCATTCGACTAAAAATGTATTTCAAATGCACTCTTTCGACTACTTATAGGCTTTCGAAACCCAAAAATCTACAAGGCAATTATTCGTGAAAGCTGAGTGTAGTTTTTTTGAAAAGTATACAAATCTCGAAAACTATTTGTCTATAAACCTAGGAAAAAAATCCTCAAAAGTTTCAGATTTTTTATTATCTAGAACTTTCGTATTAAACGTTATCCGCTAGGATGTGACGTTTCGCCGCGAAGCCCAAAAAATCGTTTTTAACCCATGAACTGCATCCCTATTTCAACTTTTATATATCATTTAAGTTGGGACATCAACAACATTTCCTCCTGGTTTATACCTGTTGCACATTTGAATGTGTGTCCACATTTGAATAATAAAGTTGAATTTATAAAATATACAATGTGAGTGATCGATACTCGGCTCTCACTCAAAGACTGGCGGTGTCGGTGTGGGTTTTTTACTTGCTCACCCTGGTGCAAGTAAACTCAGGTCAGAAAAAGGGCACCTTTGTTGGGGGTATAATTTTATTGCTATTTCTGAATTAGTGCATTTATCCCACACCATAAAGATTATAGATAATAAAATAAATAAAATATAATCTTTATGCTGTGTTTATCCGTTGTACAGCAACACGGCGGCATGTCTCTCCTTTCTAAACGCAATTTGAAATATGGCGGCTAAGAGGTTTGTTGTTGGTAAAAATGTCTGCTATGGAACAGGTTGAAAAAGTTTCCTGTGACGAACATGAGCGTTCAAATGCCAATTCCCACAAAACAGGATAAATGTGTCGACTTGATTATTTATATGATATGTTGACCAAGATTTCCAAACATAGTTTTGGTTACAGAGACAGCTTGTCTACCTCACAATCGCTATAGACAGCCATGTAATAGGATCATTATTATTTGAGGTATTGAATTTTAAATATATGCTTACCGACTTGGGAATTACAATATCGTATTATTTGCAGTTGTACAATGATATTGTTCCTCTTACTTGTGAAAATTTCCTAAATCGGTGCAATAACAAATCTAGAGGATACGCTGGAGCTTCTATCCACAGAATAGTAAAAAATTCGTGGATTCAAGGTGGCGACTGCGAGCTGGAAAGCAGTTCTATGGCGTGTGAAAATTATGTAGTGCCTCATGATAGAAGAGGAGTTCTCTCTATGTGCAATAATGGCCGTCATAGAAATAACACAATTCAGTTTTACTTAACGCTAGAAAGTGCTCCTTGGATGAATTATAAATATGTCGCTTTTGGGTAAGTCGTAAGAATGTAAAAGTGTTAAATTCTATTAGATTGTTAGATGTTACTAAAACGCAATATTTTTGAGAACTGGACAACTCATATGGAAACGTATAGATTTTTGCTAGGTTTTGGTAAAACAAACGTCAAAAAATTAAGTTTTTTCCGAGCAGCCCTAATACGAGACTTAAAGTGGTAAAAACAATTTCGCAACAACGGCTTTTCAAAATAGTGTAATAACCACAGTTTGAACAGGAGCCTTTATTTTTTGTGTTCTTCGGTAGGAGCAACATGCTTCACAGTCCCATAAAAGTTGGTTGATATGAAACATGCTATTCATAGTTTCTCGTCAACCATCATCAACCATCTTGGATTTTCACATATTTAAATTCGGACTATTTTTTCTGACTACTATGCTGTATGACCTGTTAAGGTTCAGTCTCGCTGTCTGGTAAAAATAATAAATGCTGGGTCCGGAAGTTCTACCGCCGAGTGAGTGAGTTAGAGTAAATCTGAAAATTGTATACCCATTGTTTAAGAATCAACGGAATGTTTATTCAACTATTCGGCTATTGCTTCCAAATCCTTCAATTGGCGCCGCTGCCGGAACCTGTACGATGAACTCACAAGACATGACCAACGACGCAACATCAAGTGCTGACACTACTTGATGAATGGGGATTCCAGCTTCACCATCAAGTTGTGTTGGAACATATTTATTTCAGCTAAGTTTACAAACTTCTTACTGCTACTTAATCTACGGATCCTTAGTGCTAGAGATCCCATCGCTAGAGTGTCTAACACTCTGTGTACCTTAAGATAACATCGTATGACTAAATCTAAACTAACCTAAGTACCTAATCTAAACCTAAAC